GGAGATTTTGTATTTCATTCATATCTTCAGCTAAAATAAAATATCATTTACATAGCAGACATATGTTTTAGGTTTTGTAACTTTCACATTATTTTCGACGAGAGAAACACTATACAAGTTGTTTTCGCTGATTCCCAGACTTCATGAATTTAAGCGTTCTACTAGGCTGGCATCTCGCTCACACCCTTTCACTGTCGAAACTGTTAAATCTAGCCATCTCTTCTACTCCAATAGCTTCATGTCTCGCACCTCTCGCCTGTGGAACTCCCTCCCCATTTCTTTTTTCCCTGATAGCTATAATCTCCAACTATTCAAATGTAATGTCAATCGACGTCTCCAGATGCCTTGATCTATCCCCTATCCTTCTCTTTATCCTTTCCTCTATCACTCCTAATTGCTTTTGTTCCAATTTTCTGTAACCTCTTGCGTGCTAGTGGCTTCCCGCCTTGCTTGGGGGTGAATGCTTAAAAAAGAAAGAAAGGTAAAGAAAAAAACATATTTTTTTTACTGTCGAAAGTGTGAGATTATGGTTTCAATATCGTTTTCTACAATTTTATTATGACTGTCAATCAAAGTTAATGTCTGTTCGTCTTTAATTACCACAGATATAACAGTGAAAACACAAAAATATAGTTTTCCATAATTCTATTATGAGGGTCGTTCAAAATTAATGTCTGTTTGTCTTTAATTACCACAGATTTAATAGAGACAGGACACAAAACAAAAAAAAAAAAAAACAAACAAAATAAAAATGAATGTAAAAGTCTTCTTGTCGTCAAAATATTCTACTTCTTTCTCAAGCGTGGAAAGTCGAGAAAAAAATTAATACTTGTTCTTTAACTGCAGCAACAACAGATTTAATAGTGAAAATCGCAAAAATTATACCAAAATGGACGAAGAATTCTCTGAATTTAAAATAGTGTTTTTATTTTTCAATTGCGATATTTTAACCTTGAAAAGATATATCTACTCGCTTCAGAGAATTTTTTTTGTCGCTTTCTTAGCCATGTTGGTGATAGCTCTTTCATTTCATCACCAATAGATAGAAGGAAAATCGAATATTATTGATATATCTGGGCTGGTGCTTCCCAATCCTCAGTTTCCAGCCTTGGTCGAGTGTCAAAATCATTGCAAGTGATGAATTATTTTCAACTCTACAACCATTTTCCCACAGACGGAACGTCGCAAACTCTTTAAGCTTCAATCGCCTTTTCCATGGCAAGTGTTCAAACGAGCTACATTCCTTAGTTCCACTAGTTCAGACCTTCACAGCTAGAACCCATCAGTCCACGTACGCAGGATCGAAACATTTTCATTCTCTTTGTATACAATAAGCAAGAAGGAAGTTCTATTCAAATAGCTTCTTACAGCGAATCGCCAACATACGTCTGAGAAGATGTTTCTTTAATCACTACAATCTTAACCACTTGAAGTCGATTGACAACAGTTATATATTCTACATAGCTTCATAATATGAACTTACTTCCTCTGCCTTGAGTGGCTCTTGTGCTTTGTATTAGATGAAAATTTAGTAAAATAAAGAATTAAAACAATAATTTTACCTGTCTATATTTCTGAGATGAGGTATTATGTACATTATTTACATTATTCGGACTATTGTCCTCATCTTGTCGCCATATTTATTACAACGTTTCCTCAAGGACACATGGCACAGTGGATGAAGGCGTTGGTTAGATCTAGTGACAGAACCTAAAGACTGTGAGTTCAATGCCCGGTTAAGGTAGTGGAGAACTTTCAGAGGGAAAATTAACGGGAGATAACTGATAACTGAAATCCATTAAACATGCCACGTGGAACTAGAACAGTCTACCCCAGTGAGCGAAATAAAGGGTTCAGTTCGACATTCCAACCACCTGAAGAAGGCCGGAGTGTACAACGGCCGAAACGTTGTAATAAATATGGCGACAAAGATGAGGACAATAGTCCAAATAATGTAAATAATTTTACCATTTCTGCTACTAATAGATATTAGTATTCTGTGGATGTGCGAGTGGTGTAATGGATGTCGTCTAAGAATGAGAACTCGGAGAGCCGAGTTCGAATTTCAGTCGACTTTGTTACATTCTTATTAGCCTGTGAAAATCCTTTGCTGGAGGTAGACCTTCCCCGGCTGAGGAGAAATGGGCCGTTACTCTACCGCGTGTTGGGAGGGGTCGATGTGACATGCTTGGGTGATCATGTCTCTTTACCTTTCATGATCGCCAAAGGATAGTTGCGCATAAGCGAATGTAACGAAACCCGATTGGAACTTGAACTCTGCTCTCGGATCTGTCATTCCGATTTGTTATGCCGCACAATACCCGAACATTGCGCATCCAAGATAACATCAACGCATCTGGTATTCTCACCCGGTCACCCATCTAGCTACTGGCCAGGGATTGTTGATGTTTCCATGTGCCACATTTTTGAGATTTCGATTTCAAGATCCTTGCATTTTGATAGCTTTTTGAATATCTTCAAAGATACATTGCAATCCGCAGGGACTGCAATATCAATTATTATTATTATTATTATTATTGCTCGTATTTCTTTCATGTTAATTTTCGTCGATTTTTATTGCAACTCCCAAATCCTTATTCTTGGATTGCCACTATGCTGTAGGGATCTGGATTGCAAGTTCTTCCAGCATATTCTCCAGAAGATTAACGAATTCTGCAGTCGCCTGAAGAGGATCGGAGACAAGAAAGTCGGAGTAAACAACCAAAATAAGAACACTAGAACGAATATAAGATTTTATAATGTCATATATTATATTACGGAATTAGAAATGCGGGACAAGTAGCTCGAGTCTAAACCGGATGAAGTAAAAAGACTATAGTATATAGGAGGATAGCGGGAAAAGCTTTGTTTTTTCATTCGCTGGCGTTGACTGACGTATGTCATGATGCACTGTCTAACTCCTATCCATGACACAATGATTTTGCAATGTCGAAGTGCATAGCACGACGTTTTCAAGGAGGGGGTCTGACTCGCCCGGAGTCAGATCGGGGGTGCTGTTTGAGCTGATATGATTTAAAACCTGAAATCAGCGATGAAGAGATTGCATCACTGAAGACCACCCTCTGATGCATCTAAAATGTATTATGCAACTATAAGATAACTATATACTATATGTATAACTATGTAAAACAAAAATAGGATAGTTTTCAACAAGTATGGATGCTCCCACTGGACATTGATTACTTGATTTGATTCTTATGACTTATCAACATATGGATTATTTAAAGGTGAAACACATTTTGGTCTGTGAGAATAGTTCTTTTTTTTTTGCTATCGAATATTGCGTTAACAATCTTTTGACAGATAACAATGATTTATTCAGATACAAATCCCGCCATATAACCGTAAGATAGGAGAGAAGGGATGAATTCATACCTGTCACAAGGTATTTGCGTGTAAGTGAATGTAACGTACTCGAGTGGAATTCGAACTCATCTCTCCAGTTTCTCATGTCGATTCACTATCTATTACACTACCAGCACATCCTCCACCCACTGATGAGTTATACAAAATCTTATTGACACTAACGGGAATTGGGCTCAGTGATACATAGATAGATTATAGGATTTGAAAATCTTGATAAATGGCATATTATAAGATATCGAAAAGAACCCTCTATCTGCTGTTAAATGGGACATGAAATGGCTCGTTAATTTCACCGCCTCTGTAAAACTAAAGTACTCTATTTTAATCGGCTTAAAGAAATTTTAATTGTTTTCCATCAGTATGACTAATGCTAACTTCCAGAGAAGAAAATGCTTGAGCCTTCTCGGTCTTTTCAACTGACATGAATTGCTAAATTTTCTGCTAGGAAAGTTGGTTCACTGTGCCGAGTTAGACAATTTTTATCGCCAGAAACTATTTTGTACCTTTATGTTGTGGCCTTGTTAGACACAAGAGAGGAATTGAGTTAAACAAATATATTAACAGGAACAGTAATACAAACATATACAAACGAAAGTGTTACAGCAAGAATGTTCGGTCCGACTGTCAGAGCTGACTGCTGGAAACTTCCCTTCCAAAAAGGCAGTACCTGCTCCTATTTATAAGAGTCCATGCGTGCGTGTGTAAATTACCATAACACTTTATATGCCTATCATTCGTCTGTGTATTGAATATCTTTGCCACAACTGGTCTGTGGGGGGAGTCTAATATATGAGATTAGGGATTCTTGACAAAATCTAAAAAGAATTTGCAATGTTATAGGTCTTGAGCCGTCATCTTGGCTTCAGTCACTTCCCCATTGGTGTAACATAGCTTCTCTGTACCTTTTCTATAAATATTTTCAAAGTAGTTGTTCTGATGTTATTTCTTCTTCGATACCTCAACGTCATGAATCTAATCCCAGTACTAGATTGGCAGCTAGATTTCACCATTTTAATGTTGGAATTGCTACTTGTAACCGTGAATACTATTTTAATAGTATATGCTCTAGTAGCTGTGTTTCAAAAATTTAAAATTTATGTGACTCGTCAGATTCCGTTTATATGATGCCTGTTCTTTTATTGTCCTCTCGCTTCGATAACGTTTTTTCAGTTTTTTTTCGGTTTTAGTAACCACTTAGTGGCTTTATCGCCTTGCGTTGGGTGAAACGAAGGATGAAAGAATCTGATTAGCTAGTGTTATTGTGAAGCTGTTTTGGGTTTATTAAGCAGAAAATGTCAAACTTTCATCGTTCACACGTCAACCACATTCAAGTAATAGAGGACAGGTTCATCACTTGAAAGGTAAAAGGCATATTGACTGATAAAATGATTGATCGGGCAAAACATTTTGGTCTGCAAAAGTAGAAACTAAAAGCGGAAGAGGAAAAAGGTTGAGCGATATAGAAAAGTGCAAAACAGTAAAAATATAGATAAAAGCAGAGGTGATATTTATTAAATGAACAAATTAGGAAGTTAGACTGATATTTAGAATTGGGATTGATAAAATCTCTATGTGGAAGAAAACCATAACAAAGGACTTTCCGTAAAATGCAACTAGATGGGTGATTTATAATAGACTCGCGAAGAGAACAGGCATTTTCGTCTTTTAAAGAGAGATAGTGAGGGAGAGTGAGGGAGAGAGAGGGAGAGAGAGGGGGAGAGAGGGGAGGGGAGAGAGGAAAAGAGAGAAAAGAGGGGAGAGAAAAGGAGATAGATAGGGAGAGAGGAGAAGAGAGAGAATGAAGAGTGGAGAGAGAGAGGAAGGAGAGATGAGAGGGAGAGAAAGAGGGAGCGATAGAGGGAAAGAAGGAGAGAGAGGAAGAGAAAGATAAAAGGAGCGAGGGGAGAGGGGAGAGATAGGGAGAGAGAGAAGGGGAGAGAGAGAAGGAAGAGGGAAAAAGAGGAAGAGAGAAGGGGGAGGTTAAGAGGGAGAGGAGAGAGAGGCAGAGAGAGAGAGAGTGAGGAGAGACTGAGTGAGAGAGATACAGAGAGCTTGAGAGAGGGGGAGAGGGGCAGAGAGAGATAGGGGAGAGAGAGAGTAGGTGGAGCGGGAGAGAGTGGGAGAGCATTTTTCAATTCCATCACTTATAAAGCAAAAACAAAGGCGAGGAATATAGAAGAGAAAATAAAGAAAAGGCAACAGAAAACGAGAGAAAATAGAAAAAAAAAACACATTTTTTTGCGAAGAGAAAGAAGGAGGAAGAACCTGTGACAATTTTAGCGAAGTGAAAAAAAAAACTTTAGCAAAAGAGGAAAGAAATGAAATGAAGAAAAGTTTAGCCAAGATGAAAGAGTAGCATGGTCGAAAACAGTTCTGTTGAAGAGAAAAGAAAAATGAGAAACGATGTAAGTTCCAGAAGGAAGAAGAAGCGAAGAAAGTTTTAGCAATGAGTAAAGCGAAAGAAAGAAAAGATATATTTTAGTAAAGACGAAAGAAAGAAAGAAACGAAAAAAAGCTTTAGTGAACAGATAAAAAGAGGAAGAAATGAAGACAGATTTAACGACATTTTAACCAAGAAGAAAGAGAAGAAACGTTGATAGTTTCAACAAATAAAAAAAAAAATTGTTTATATTTCTAAGATGAGGTATTATGATTACCTACATTATTCGGTCCATTGCCATATTCACAACGTTTGAGGCGACTTGAATTTCTAACTGAACCCTATATTTCGTCCACCGGGATAGATTCTCTCAAGGACACATGGCTCCGTGGATAAAGACGTTGCTTAGATCCAGTGATTTCAATACTAGTCCACAGCAGGGGTCAACCAAACACGGAGAGTTCAGTTAAAGGGAAATAACTGAGACATCTGAAAGAGACACGGCACGTGGAACTAGAACAATCTACTACGCTGGACGAAATAAACGGTCAATTCCAATCACTTTAAGAAGGCTGGAGCGTAACAACAACCGAAACACTATTTACACTATTCGGACTATTATCCTCATTTTTGTTGCCATATTTACTCTCCGGCCTTCTTCAAGTGGTTGGGATAGACTGTTCTAGTTCCACGTGCCATGTCTAATGGATGTCAGTTATCAGTTATCTCCTGTTAATTCCCCTCTCCAAGTTCCTTGGGTCATGTTACTGGATCTAACTAACGCCTTTATCCACTGTGCCATGTGTCCTTGTGTCATCTATGTGTAAATTTCTGGGTATTATAAATCTAAAGTCTTCAGCAACCATTTTTTCCAGGGCTCATATTGCAATTTTTGCTGTTCTCATTGCATTTCTTTTTTACTAGAGTTCATATTGCAATTTTCGTTGTTATTATCGCTTTTCTCTGTCTCTCCTTATTACTGGTTCCTATATTTTATTCATTTCTATGCTTGGTCGGCACAAGAAGGCCGGAACGTACAACGGCCGAAACGTTGTGATAAATATGGCAACAAATAGTCCGAACAATGTAAATAGTGTACATAAAACCTCATCTCAGAAATGTAGACAGATAACGACCGAAACGATGTGAAGATGGGGATAACAGTCCAAAGAATGTAAATAATGTAAGCAAATGGCAAGGAGGGGAATATCGAAGTTAGATTTAACGAAGGAGGGGAAAAAATAAGAAACAAAGAAAGTTTTAGCAAAGGGAAAAAAGACGAAGAAATAGACAGTTTTAGCAAAATGGAAGGAGAAGAAGGGAGACTTTTTCAGTAGACGAAAACTGTTAACTAAAGGAAAAGAAAAAGTCAATTCTTTCTTGGGTTACAACAGATGGGACGGCGAGAAAAAAAAGTGTAGAATATCTCAAAACACGAAGAAAACAGCAGGAATTTAGCTTGTTTTTGATCGTATAACTTACCAGAAAAAAATAAAATGAAAAGCGGAAAAATACTGGAAAAAAAAAAGATCATGGGTAAATAATTGGGTGCACTTGGCCCACTTCATGCTAGTGAAAGAAAAATCTAAACATTTTAAATAAGATTACATATGCTCAGATCAGACGTCAAATTTGTAGTAATAATTTGGTGCTTGAATCTGAATTGTTTTCGAGACATTAAAAAAGTAAAAGAAAAAGATTTTTTGATTTTCTTTTTTACTCAGACAATTATCTCTGGACATTTTATCTTGCATGAAATTGTATTTAGGCTTCGATGATTTTATCTTGCTAACAGCAACAACAATTTGTACACGGTCATTTCTCATTTCAACATCAGATTTTAAGAAAAACACCAAAGAACCGGGAGGTTTTCTAGTGTGGAACAATAGACAACAAGACATCATCGCTATATTAAAGTTTGAGGAAAGAAACTCTATTCACAACGCATTTACATACCTACATACATACTATATCAAAAGACATCCACACTCTATTTTCTATCTAGTATGATGATTGCCATTTATTTACAGAAGGCGACCATCTCTTCTTACTTTTAAAATGAAGAATTGTTTGATTACTAAGTATAAAAAGATCTTAAAACGATAAAAAATAAAAAAAAGCTGAAATATGGTAAAAACAAGCCTCCCGAATTTACAAACAATTTATAAAAGACTATGCTTAATATTTAAGTGGTAAAGCAAACAGTGAAAAGAATATTTAAGAAAAAGAAGCAAAAATAGTAAAATAATAAAAGGAATAACGCCCAGTAAAGGAACCTTTAAAAGCAAAATACGGCCAGTTCACATTTATAATAGTGACTGCTACTTACAGTACATTGCCAGGTTCATGTGCACGCAATTGGATCTTTAAACCTGCTGCACTCTTACAAGCTTTCTTAAATAATTAAAAAATGAATGGTGTAAAGAGATTTTTGAAGGTTATTTTGTCTTGATGAATTCTTTCAGTGTTCCTGTTTAGACCAGTGATGATTTGTAGATTTTGTTGCAAACCTGACAGAGGGCGCTTGTTGGTCCGGGATGAAGTCGTTCAGAACGAGAAACGTGGTCTCTTTCTCTCTCTCCCCCCTCTCTCTCTCTCTCTCTCTCTCTCTCTCTCTCTCTCTCTATATATATATATATATATATATATATATATATATATATATATCACTTACAGTTAAAATAATATTAAAAGGACGCGCACTCTTACAGATGAAAGAATATTAAAAAGAATGCAAAACACTTACAGGTAAAAGAATATTAAAAAAGATGTAAAACACTTACAGTTAAAAGAATATTAAAAAATGTAAAAAACTTACCGATAAAAGAATATTAAAAAATGTAAAACACTTACAGTTAAAAGAATATTAAAAAAGATGTAAAACACTTACATTTAAAAGAATATTAAAAAATGTAAAACACTTACCGATAAAAGAATATTAAAAAGATGTAAAACACTTACAGATAAAAAATATTAAAAAAGATGTAAAACACTTACAGTTAAAAGAATATTAAAAAATGTAAAACACTTACCGATAAAAGAATATTAAAAAGATGTAAAACACTTACAGATAAAAAATATTAAAAAAGATGTAAAACACTTACATTTAAAAGAATATTAAAAAATGTAAAACACTTACCGATAAAAGAATATTAAAAAGATGTAAAACACTTACAGATAAAAAATATTAAAAAAGATGTAAAACACTTACAGTTGAAAGAATATTAAAAAATGTAAAACACTTACCGATAAAAGAATATTAAAAAATGTAAAACACTTACAGATAAAAAATATTAAAAAAGATGTAAAACACTTACAGGCAAAAGAATATGAATGAGGATTTAAAACAATTACACATAAAAGTATATATAAAAAAATATGTCATACACTTACAGATAAAAGAATATTAAAACTGATGTAAAACACTTACAGGAAAGCAAGTAAAAGGATAAGAAATATGAGCCAATTAAGAAAGCTTTAAAAACAAAATCCAGCCAGTCCGCATTTATGATAGTGATTGCGACTTATAATGCATTGCCACGTTCCTGTGCACGCAATTGGCTCTTTAATCCTGCTGCACTCTTACAAGCTTTCGTACATAAATAACAAATTTTGTAATGAGATTTTTGAAGGCTATTTTGTTTTAATGAAATCTATTAATTTGCCTCTTTAGACCAGCTGATGATTTGCAGATTTTGTCGCAAAACTGACATAATGGCGCCACTTGTTCCAACTCTATTTTCTACCTAAGAAAAGACAATATTACAAACATACCAAATAATGTAATTTGTAAAACGTTTATTTATCACCCCTCAGTTGCATCTGTGTTCAGGAGTTGCTCCGTCGAAGAACAGAGTCACGACTGACGAAAATTATACTAAGAGGTACCGGCCCTGAGGAAGAGCTGCCGGAGGCCGCAGCCTCTCATTGCACTAGAGAGAGGCATCGGTGCTCGCATAGAGGATAATTTTTGTTCTTAGCCCGGGTGTACACGCTCGGGCTCCCCACATTAAACCGACCTTGTTCCACAATGCGACTTCATTTCGAGGTCGATTAAATACAATATTACAAACATATCAAGAAAAAATATATCCCGCAATACAATACACACCATTTAATTCAAATTATCTATTGGTTAGAAATTAACCGTGAGCTAAAATAAGCCAGGTACTATAACAATAGCTTGGATGGTCAGTGAATCTTCTCCGACGAACAGTCAGCGACTTCGGACGAATCATCTCCAAAAACATCATCAACAAAGACGGTTAGTGAATAACGAAAAGCTCTGGAAAAGACTAAAAGTTTTTTTTTTTTTTTTTTTTTTTTTTTTACTGTGGACCAAATATTTAAAAATCTTTTGTAGTACACAGATTTTTTCTGTATACCAACTACGAAAAGATTTTATCTCAGCGAAAGACTCCTTTTCGACTCCTTTGAATTAAAATATATATATATATATGTATATGAAGAGTGTTCTAATAACTTGGACCGATTTTAAATGTGAATTATGTTTAAGCGTCTTATGTTTTTGTCTTTTTCTTACAGATTTAACAACTTAAGACATTGTCAAATTCAACTATGGAAAGATAACGTGTTAAAGTTATCGAAGCCTATTACAAAAATGGACGTTCAAGCAGAATTTGAATGAGAAGTTCCCAAGTCGCATCATCTCTCGAAAGAGCGAAGTCAATTGGCCACCACGATCGTGCGACTTGACGCCTTTAGACTTCTATGTCTATCCCAATAAGCCAACAACAATTCAACAGCTGAAGGATAAGATAATAAGGCATATTGGTGAGATCGATGAACAACTATGCAGAGACGTCATCAAAAATTTTGACCATGGATTGGAGGTGTGCCGCCGAAGCCCTTGCGGACATTTGGGCGATATTATTTTTCATACATAATTGCCATGACTTAAATAACATGATCCAATAGAGAAATAAATAAAATTTCACCAATAACACTGATTTATTTACTGATGACGTTGATCCGTCTTAATGAAACACCCTTTACAAATGATTTATTTAACAGGTAAACCCATGATTTTTAAAAATTTTATTATTTGCAGATTTTGTTGCAAACCTGACAGAGGGCGCTTGTTGGTCCGGGATGAAGTCGTTCAGAACGAGAAACGTGGTCTCTCTCTCTCTCTCTATCTCTATCTCTATCTCTCTCTCTCTCTCTCTCTCTCTCTATATATATATATATATATATATATATATATATATATATATATATATATATATATATACTTACAGTTAAAAGAATATTAAAAAAGACGCAGACTCTTACAGATAAAAGAATATTAAAAAGAATGCAAATTACTTACCGATAAAAGAATATAAAAACACTTACAGATGAAAGAATATTAAAAAAAGATGTAAAACACTTACAGATAAAAGAGTATTAAAAAAAGATGGAATTCGGAGATCCGGATTTTTATTATAAAAACCTTGTGGACAGAATTTCCTACAAATATTTCATACAATAAAACAATATAAATATTTCAATAAAACTTGACAAAGTTTTAATTGAATTTTGATAGAAATATTACTGTATAATGTTTAATAATATCTGTGACTGAAACGAGATATTAAAAAATAGATATATGTTGTGTAAAAGGAAAGATAGTGAAAAAATAAATACCACATATACTCCTGTATAAACATACTTTGTGTATAGTGCTGAATCTATTTGTGAAAAAAAAAACATATTTATTTATCCTGATCGTATATAATGCAATCCCAGCTTCTGAGCAATATTAGTAGGCCTACCGTAGTCAAAAAATGCAGGACTGACCATCATCCTGATACGAAGATTTAGATACCCCAATTTTGTTTTTGATCATCCCTGAAAAATTACATGTGTATAACGCGATCCTCTATTTTTTTGCATAACAATCTGGTCATAAAAACTCGCAATCTATTCGATATGTACAGTATATACTGCGTAAATTATTGGGTTGGTGCATAATTATCAGGCGTTTTTGTAGGTGAGTTGTTTGTTAATAAAAAATGCGTAAATTATTGGGTTGGTGCATAATTATCAGGCGTTTTTGTAGGTGAGTTGTTTGTTAATAAAAAATGCGTAAATTATTGGGTTGGTGCATAATTATCAGGCGTTTTTGTAGGTGAGTTGTTTGTTAATAAAAATGCGTAAATTATTGGGTTGGTGCATAATTATCAGGTGTTTTTGTAGGTGAGTTGTTTGTCAATAAAAAATGCGTAAATTATTGGGTTGGTGCATAATTATCAGGCGTTTTTGTAGGTGAGTTGTTTGTTAATAAAAAATGCTGTATTGTTTACTTTTTTTTAAATAAAATTATTTAACTTTCAGGTTATAAAAATTTGTGCTGATAATCATAGGCTCCAGAATAATGCTTTAAAAATGTTATTATTGAATTGTTATGTTTCTTTTTCCATAATAAGTATTATATATTATATTTATATTATATTTCCATAATATGAAGCTATTTTTACATACAAATACATCCACATTCATTTTATATATATATATATATATTGTGTATTT